AAATTGTTTAATTATATACACATATATGCGTTAACTTGGCATCATCAATGAATTTGAATACATTTTGTTTGATCTCAATAAATAACTACTTTTTACTAATCAAACTCATAACCTATCTAGAAAGATAAAATGTCGTGATGTTTAAGTCAATCTAAGTCTGAAATAGATAATAATAGTTTCGTATATCTAACAAGTGAGGCGGAACTCCATATTTATAGGTTTCGACTCAATACAAGTTATTTAACGGTTACAACTATTATATAAATTGCGATGTGTTGCTAGATAGATGATTAAGCGCATTGTACTAATTATCAACTCATATTTTATGAAGGTTGACTGTTGGAGATTCATATTGGTCGACTCGACCTTTACGAAGGCACACACGAATTCAATGTATGCATTGACTTGACCAAGAAAGATGGCAAAACTACATATTGATACTTACAAACTCGTACTTTCATGGTGGCATGACACTTTTTGACCTACGATTCATTGATGTGTGCACTTGATAAATCACCTACAAAACACATTCAATTACCACAAAATCAACAACATATCATTAGAGTATGCATTTACAGTTTTCTCAGGAAAAAAAAAAGTATGCATTTACAAAAATTTATGTCTTGTTCAATACGAAACTTGCAAGCACACAAATAAATTCCAAGCATTCATAAAACAGTAGTGATTAGGTTGGAAGTGTTAAAATCATATAAGATAAGTTAAAAAATAATAAAAAAGATATATAGGGACCAAATTTAGTCAGATCGAGCACAATTCATGGATAGACACTTATTGTCATTTTAGAAGTCATTTGATTGCTATTCATGCAATTGTTTGAAGAAATGAAGATTCGAGTTTTCCCACATTTTGTAATTTCATACCATAATGAAATTATTTATCATTAAAAAAAGAGAAAAATGAAATTTAAACTCAAATTTAATATAAACATTTTAAAAGGGAATAAAATTGCAATTTAGTAAACAATTCATTAAGATTTGCTAGCATGCACAGTTAAAACTATGCATTCAAATATTTGTTGTACTTAAACAAAAAAAAATATTTTTATATATTTAAATATTATTTTGGTCACAAAAATACTTTGAATTTAAAAGTTCATTGGATATACAATGTGGTCACATTTAAATATATTTGAAAATCAAAATGAACGGTTTGAACTACCATAGCTAAAATGAATTAAAGTAAAAATACCATCAAAATAATATTTAAATATTTTAAAATATTATTTTTAGCAGATTAATCAGGGCTAATTGGCGAAGCCACTCAACGTTAACGAGCCGTCCGTCCATCGGATCGGCAAAAGCACCGTCTATCACGTTAACTTTTCCCCAATGTAATATTTATTTTGACCACGTCACTTCGTACTGTTATTTCTAGAGCTGAAAAACAAGCCCACGCGCCACCTAAATGTCGTATCCGAAACTCGCTTCCTCAAAGTTCAGTTGAAGCAAGAATGTCCACGTGTCTCAAAACTAGAGCAAGTGTTTAAATCTCAACGGCTTTTCGCGAGTGCAGCTTCCGATTATTTTATGGCGCCTCCCAACTCAAACCTCCGTGGTATTTTCGAAATATTATATAAAATCAAGGGCAAATTAGTTTCCTTTTAGAGGAAATTGCTTTATTTGTTGTTTTTTACGTCAAACGGAAATTTCACTAATATCGTGCATTTCCTAAAACTCTCGAAAGGATTTTAAATCTCGTCCGTCCAAATTTGAAGGACGAATCTTAGCCGTTCATATTCGCCCTGCTGGCCGGCCGAATGGTCAAGCTGCATTAAATCATCAAAGACTAGGAAGCAGGAGAACGAGATGGCAACCATAGAATTCCGATCCAACGGTCGATTATACGACACGTGGCGTGTCCAGAGCGCTTCAATTTTCATTTTTCTTTTCCAGGTTTATTAGGCTTATTATTATTTTTTTCTTTTTCTTTTTTGTTATTTTTCGATATGTAAAGTAAACCCTTGCTCGTCGTGGAACTAAAAGAAACCCTAGCTCCGTCCGTTTCTCGCGGTTAAAATTAAAATATTAGGGCAAAAATTCAAAAATTGCCGAAAATTAATTGGGAAAATTGTGGAATCTATTAGGGTTTCGAATGAGATAGCTCCGATTCAAGCCCTAATTTACCATTCGGGTTTATGATCGACACGATTCGTAGACGAAGCGATTATTATTCGCGGTTCAATCGGTTGAGGTAGGTATATGATTTTTCATTGTCTTTAAAATTTTCATGAGTTTTGGTTTATCCGAATCTATCCTAGAATAGGATGAATGCATGGACAATTGGATGTGATCACTTCGCGTGTTCATTTGCGAGGATTTTCGTTTTTTTTAATATTTGGCTTGGTTTCGGTGACACAGATCTGAGAAATGTTTATATGCATGTACAATGATGGAACATGAAAATTGGGGGTTTCTGGATTGGGAGTTTTCGTTTGGGGAAGTCGATGGAAAATAGCTTAGAAAACGCACATGGTACTGGAATTCCGAAGAAATCGAGATCTTTGGATCTCAAGAGTTTGTACGAATCAAAGGTGTCCAAAGAGGTTCAGAATAAGAGGTTAAAGAGAAAGGTCCGGGCAGAGGATGGTGATGAGCAGAGGAACGGGAAAAGAAATAGGAAAAAGGTGTCCCTTAGTAATTTCAATAGTATTCATAGTAAGAACAGGAGGAGTTTGGATGAAGTGTATGATGGTGGACTAGGTTCGAGTGGGCACGATTCAAAGAAGGCCGTCAAGTTAGAGTCAAGAGAAAAGTTAAATAGCAGTAGTGAGTTTAACAAAGTTCCACTTATTTTGGACGAAAATGTTATGCAAATCCCGAAGCGTAAGAGGGGTGTTGTTAGGCGAAAGAAATCTCTTGATGGTCAGATTTTGAAGCCATCTGTACAATTGGATGGTAAAGCTGGTATTGTGGATCAGATTGCTAAATCTAGTGCCAATGATTCAAGTGATCAGCTGGAATGCTGTAAGACGAATAGAAAGTCAGGGTTTAAAGATTTAAAAGAGAAAGGCAGAAATGAGTTGAGCTCAACTCAGCATCAGAAGAAGGAAGATGGGCATGCTGATCAGTTGATTAGAGAAAATGAATCAAATTCAACTTTGCGATCAAAGGAGGAAGGTGAGCATATCGATCGTTTGGTTGTAAAGCCTGTCAGTCTGTCATCTAAAAAACCACGAAGGAATTCCAGGAAAAGAAAGATTTCTGCATCTGGGAGCAAAAGTTATTCAAAGGAGGGTGAGGTATCCATTGATTCTTCTACCAAGAAACGTGATGGCTACCCGGAAGATGATGAAGAGAATCTGGAGGAGAATGCTGCAAGAATGTTATCATCTAGATTTGATCCAAATTGTACCGGGTTTTCATCAAACACGAAGGGTTCATTGCCACCAGCTAATGGGTTATCCTTCTTGTTGTCTTCTGGCCATGATATAGTTAGTTGCGGTCTTAAGTCTTTATCTGGTCCCCAAGTGCCATCAGTTGATGCTGCTGGAAGAGTATTGAGGCCTAGGAAACAACGGAAAGAAAAGAAAAGCTCCCGGAAAAGGCGCCATTTTTATGAAATTTTATTTGGGGACTTGGATGCTGTCTGGGTATTGAACAGGAGGATCAAAGTCTTTTGGCCTTTGGACCAAACCTGGTACTTTGGACTCGTGAATGACTATGATAAAGAAAGGAAGCTTCATCATGTCAAATATGATGATCGCGATGAAGAATGGATTGACCTTCAAAATGAAAGGTTCAAACTGTTGCTACTTCCTAGTGAAGTTCCTGGTAGGGAAGAACGCAGGAAGTCAGCGATGGGAAATAATTCTGTGAATGAGAAAGGGAAATCAAGACCCAGGAAAGGAAAAGAAAGCAGTGCTGTGATTGCAGAGGATGATTGCAATATTGGTGGCTACATGGATTCTGAGCCAATCATCTCTTGGCTGGCTCGATCTACTCATCGTATTAAATCATCTCCTTCTCATAGTTCAAAGAGGCAGAAAACTTCTAGCCTATCTTCAAAATCAGGGTCGGAGGAATTTGAAAAGCCAGCAAATGTACGTCCGCCTTCAAATTTCTCTTACTTCGGAAAGGAAAAAATAGAATTGGTTAAAATTTCAGAATTGCCAGAAAGATTAGGTGATATGGATGGGCTAGAGAAGTCTGCTTATGAAATCACCACTTGTTCTAAAACTAGCAAACTTCCTATCGTATATTATAGGAGAAGGTTTCGCAACATAGGCACTGAAATGTCCCATAAATGTGAGACAGAGTATGCCTCTAGAAGAACTCGTTCTTCTTTTGCTTCATTTTATTCTAGTGTTGGTGAAATTGATGATGTGGAAGAGCCAGATATTTCCCCAAAAAGGTCGGAAGCACACAGGCCAGTATGGCGTGTTGATGATGCTGGGTTATTACAGTTGGCTATTCCAGGGATGGAAGAGGGGCAGTTGAGGTTTGAGTTAAGCATTCCAGAATATTCATTCTGGAATGTCACCTTTAGTGCAGAGACATTCTGGTTATTCCATTTGGCGATGCTCATCCAATATGGCACATTGACGTTAATATGGCCAAAGGTTCAATTAGAGATGTTATTTGTGGATAATGTGGTTGGGTTGAGATTTCTCCTGTTTGAAGGTTGCTTGATGCAGGCAGTGGCTTTCATTTTTCTGGTCCTGAAAGTGTTTCAGTCACCCAGTAAACAGGGAAGGTGTGCTGATTTTCAGTTTCCCGTTACTTCTATCAGGTTCAAATTCTCATGCCTTCAGGATATTGGAAAGCAGCTTGTGTTTGCTTTCTATAACTTCTCAGAAATAAAGAATTCCAAGTGGGTTCACCTGGACTATCGGCTGAAGAAGTATTGCTTGCTCGCTAAGCAGCTTCCATTGACTGAATGCACCTACGATAATATCAAAAGGCTTCAAAATGGAAAAAGTCAGTTCCGTACGTCTCCGTTTTGTGGCCAGTCTTCCTCTGTCAAGGTACTTCTTTAGTCTATCTTTTTTCTTTCTTCTTCTTCTTCTTCTTCTTCTTTTATTTTTGGTTATGCCATCTACTATATTATTAGTTTTTTTAACAAGATTCAAACTTCTCATTGACAAATAAAAAGGAACAAAATTGTTATGGATACTATATTGTTGTCCTAGCATGTTACAAGATTTTTTGATATAACTTTGCTTTCTCTGTATCCTGGTCTTGTGTGGTTTTCCAATCCAAGGCTAGATATTTCACGCTTGTAGTAACTCCTTCAGTGTCTCTCTTCTTATCAGGGCATACATAAGATTAGTAGTCTTGGTATCAACCTCAAAGGATCGGCGTGCGTGAATACTGGTCATTCTAATTTGTGTTCCAATGAAATGAAAAGAAACTTTCCTGCTTTTGCTCTTTCTTTTACTGCTGCACCTACCTTCTTTCTAAGTTTGCATCTCAAGCTGCTTATGGATAGGTGTGTGGCTCATTTAAGCTTGCGACGTCATGATCCAGTTGAGCATCCAGAAAATTTTGGTAGATTGACTGTGGACGACAACATGTGTACGGATGACTGTGATAATAGTCTAAGTACCTCATCAAAGGCATCCGATAGATGGAATTCTGGTGCTCGGTCAGATTTAGGAACTGGTCTCTCTGATTGTGAGGATGGAGATTGGGTACAGTCCTCCCAATATAAAAGGGGTAGTTCCATAGTTGCTGAAACTTGTGCAGGGTCGCAGGATTCAGACAATGTCAAGAGGCGGACGCGGCCATTGGAAAATAACCAATCAGCGAAAGAACGACGTGCCATATCATCAATGCCTTTACCTAATGTGGCAAGATCTGATAATGGTTCTGATTTATTTTCGAATGATCTTAGTGTTGCGATTCCATCATTTCAGCATGGGGATGGGGAGTTGCACAGTGCTCAGCAGTCTATGGATATGGCATGGAATGTGAATTCTGGCATCATTCCCAGCCCGAACCCCACTGCACCACGAAGCACATGGCATCGGAATAAGAATAACTCATCATCATTTGGATTGCCCTCACATGGATGGTCAGATGGGAAGGATTTTCTCAACAATGGTTTGGGAAATAGGACTAAGAAACCACGAACTCAGGTGTCTTACTTGTTGCCTTTTGGAGGTTTTGATTATAGCTCAAAGAGCAGAAATGCTCACCCAAAAGGAATTCCTTACAAGCGAATTAGAAAGGCTAGCGAGAAGAGGCCGGATGTTGCTAGAGGATCCCAAAAAAACTTAGAATTACTATCATGTGATGCAAATGTGTTAATCACACTTGGTGACAGAGGGTGGAGGGAATGTGGGGCAAGGGTGGTATTAGAGGTCTTTGAGCATAATGAGTGGAAGCTTGCTGTGAAACTTTCAGGAATTACCAAGTATTCTTACAAGGCTCATCAATTTTTGCAACCTGGATCTACAAATCGGTATACTCATGTGATGATGTGGAAAGGAGGAAAGGATTGGATCTTGGAGTTTCCAGATAGAAGCCAGTGGGCACTCTTCAAGGAGTTGCATGAGGAGTGTTACAATCGAAACATTAGAGCAGCTTCAGTTAAGAATATTCCCATCCCTGGAGTTAGTTTGATAGAAGAAAATGATGAAAATGTTGCAGAAAATCCATTTGTGCGGAATCCTTCCAAGTACTTCCGGCAGGTGGAAACAGATGTTGAAATGGCTTTAAATCCAAGCCGTGTATTGTATGACATGGATAGCGATGATGAGCAGTGGGTCATGGATATTCAAACTTCTTCAGAAGTTGGCGGTAGTGGCTTGGGGGAGGTTTCAAGTGAGGTGTTCGAGAGGACAATGGACGCATTTGAGAAGGCTGCATACGCTCAGCAACGTGTTGAGTTCACAGATGATGAGATAGCAGAGGTGACGGATGGAACTCTGGCATCAGGCTTGACAAAAGTCATATTTGAGTATTGGCAGCAGAAAAGGCGGCGGAAGGGAGTGCCTTTAATTCGACATCTTCAGGTACCTTTTAGGTCTCTTCACATTCCTGCATATTATGAGTCTCTGCATTTTTCTGCTCCTTCCTTTTGCCCCATTGCTTCGATAGAAATAAGAAATTTGAAAACAGATGCTTCTCTCGTGAGAGGTAAAAACTGAACAAATAGGCAGACTGATACCTTCAGAATTTATTTCATATACTTCATTTATGTCCCTTTTCCCCAACTTTAGTCTTCTCTCTCCTAGACTTTGGTGATCCCAGTATGTTCGTATTTGTTTAAACTGACAACAAGAAATGCATCTTGTGCTTTTTTCAGCCGCCGCTTTGGGAAACATACCAACAGCAATTAAAAGATTGGGAGTCTGCAGTCACCAAAAACAACAACAATTACTGTAATGGATATCATGAGAAGGCTGCATCAGTTGAGAAACCGCCCATGTTCGCGTTCTGTTTGAAACCCCGAGGCCTGGAAGTCTCCAATAAAGGTTCAAAGCAAAGGTCCCATAGGAGGTTTTCAATGTCTGGTCAGAGCAATTCCATCGCTTGTGATCCGGATGGATTGCATGGATTTGGTAACTTCTATTTCCATTTTACTCGAGTCGTCTAATGATTGATGTTTATCTCGAATAAAACTCATGTTGACTTCTTTCGAAGTTATCTCAAACAATTTTATTTTGTTTGTTTGTATCAGGTAGAAGATTGAATGGGTTTGTTCTTGGGGATGATAAGATGGCCTATTTAGGCCAGAACTACGAGTTCTTGGAAGATTCTCCTCTGATTCACGCATCTTCCAGTGTATTTTCCCCGCGACTCGAAGGTGGCATTTTGAGTAATGACGGATTGGAGAGGAATTTTCTACCAAAACTTCACAAGAGCAAGTCCAGAAAGTATGGGGCGTGGTCATCTCCATATGACCCTATGACGGCGTCTTCTTTCAATCAGAGAATGATTGGAAAGAGAGATGGGTTAAGCGGATGGAATAACGGTTTTTCCGAGTGGTCAAGCCCCCGACGATACCACCTCGACGGATCACAAAGGCAGATCCTCGAACAGTTGGAAGGTTCCGATCTTGATGAGTTCAGGCTCCGCGATGCATCTGGTGCTGCACAGCACGCACGCAATATGGCTAAGCTTAAGAGAGAAAAGGCCAGACGGTTGCTATACAGAGCAGACCTCGCAATTCACAAGGCAGTGGTTGCTATCATGACTGCTGAAGCAATCAAAGCAGCCTCTGAGGACGACTCCAACGGGGATGGATAGAGAAAGAAAAAGAAACAGAAGTGACGATAACCCCAAAACCCGACAACCACAACTTCCTCCGAAATCGCTTGAGCTCTCACCTGATAATACTACATCCCAACGACAAGCGCATTAGGTTCGACGATTTTGTTAGCAATGGGTTTTGTTTACTTTTGTCGACGGTACAGCCCTTTTTATTTTTGATTATGTGCAGATTCAATAGCGAAGTTCTGACACGACAAGACGCGATCGAGCCGTAAGCGATTAAGAAAAAAAATTTGTTGCTACAACAGCTTCCCAGAGCCACAAGGAAGCTTTTTATTTTTTCTTTTTTAGGCCAGAATGATGAGAAGAACCTCTCATTTTCAGTGCAAAATATTGTACTGATATCAGGTTTATAGGGAGAGGGGGTGTATGGAATTCTTTAGGGTTGCCCATATTTGTACAGCTTTTTTTCCCCATCTTTTTTTTTTCCTCACTTTTCCCCCTCCATGTCTCCCATTTTCCTCTCCTCCTTAACCTTCAGTTTCTAAAGTGTTCCAATCCATCCATCAAATGAGCATCTAGCTTAAATAATACAACATCTCTTCACTGCCATTACATTTTATTTCTCTGTATATACATCTGAAGAACTACTCTGATCAATGCTTTAAGTTCTTTGTATTCACATTATAATGCTTCTCCCAAGTAATTTCTTGATTCTTGCAACTTTTTTTTTGGGATTTTCTTAAATGATTATTTTGTTTTCTGAAATCAAAATGTTTTTAAATTTTTTAGTCTATTTTTTTCTTTGGTCTAATTTGGTTCAATTTTCTAATGCATTTTTGGAAAATAAAAGTACTTGGGGGTTTGACAATTTCTTAGATTTTTTTGAGAAATAAAACAAATATATTTACTTTTCTACATTTCTTTTTATTAGCTGCAAAAAATTTATTAGTGGTCAATAAAATATGAGTGCTGATTAATGAAGATTATTTTTTAATTAATGGAAATGCGAAAACTTTTTTTACAATATATTTTCAATCTACTCTGTTAATAAATTAGAAATTGTAATACTTGTTTTTAAAATTATTCATTATCATTACTACTCTTATGACTGTATTTATAATAATAACGACAACCATAAGCATTTATGTACTCAAATTTGTAATAGGATGAGTCAAAGTCGCTACATTTTTTTTTTCAAGTTTTCCAACTTTTATAAGTTAAATCTAGATGGAGCAGCAAACAACTCTCAAACAAGTCAACATGATACCAAATCGCTACTCCGACGATTAACAAAATTATAAAATTTTAAAAGGGCGGGACATAATTATGGTAAATAGTCAAAAGTTTTTTTTTTCAAAATATAAAAAGTTATGAAATATGTTTTTTATTTATTGTCATATATATATATATATATTTTTTTTGAACAACTTGTCAGATTGCTTCTAAGTTTCTAGTTTTTCTAAATTCAATATAGGTAGAACACGGCAACTCTCAAATCAGTTAACATTATACTATTTTTAAACTTAGAACTAAACCGCTGAGCCAATGGTTAATGAAATTTAAAAATTTTAGAAGGATGGTGCATTTTTGTAAATATTTTGTTGGGAGGGCATAGCTATGTAAATAGTCCTAAGTTATTTTATTTTTGAAATAAATAGTCCCAAGTTCTTATTGTTGAATAGGGCCGAAATCTTATCAGCCAACCGTTAGTAACGGCCTCCCTCCCCGCTGTGCTTTCCCGCCATTGAAACATCCACCTACTTTCTCGTATACATGGCTGAACCTAATCCCTCGACCCTTTGTCCCTGCTATTCTTTGCGATCCGGCTCGTTTCTCTGTTCTTCATATTCTCTTTCGCCATTGCGGTTTCGCCTAGGGTTCTTCTGCGCGTCTCCCCATGCCATTTCACTCTTAATTTGCATCGTCGATCAGGTACGTACGTTATCCCCCATTGCATTTTGGTATTTGTTTGGTTTCAGGAAAACGAGGAACTAATCGGTGAGAGAAGCGACTTTTTGTATAATAATTGGAAGAGTCTGTTTGGAGGATTTCTATTATGATTGTTTCAGAAACCTAGAATTTGTTTTCGTTCTATTTATCGATTTAATTGCTCTTGAATACATGCTTTGTCGGAAATGACGTTTTTAAATTTGTTTTTTGTTTTTTTTCTTTAATGCAGTAGCTTTGAAATTTGAAAGATGCCAAAACGCGTCAAGGAAGAAGACAAAATTGAAAGGACCATTCGTAATCTTCTGAAACTTCCAGAGAACCGAAGATGTATTAACTGCAATAGTCTGGTACGAGAATTCCTCACCCAGTTTGTTACTCGCTGATGAACTAGAAGTGAGAATTGATGGAATATATATTTTTAATCACTGACGAGATATTTTCCTCTAATTAAAGTTCTGAGATGCATATATGAATTCATATGTGGTAACTGATATGGTGTCTAGGCTGTATCTAGAATTGTTGCGTGAATATAATTTGAAGTACAGTAACTGCAGGGTTGTTAATGGAAAATAATGGAGTTCTTTAATTAATAGGAGGAAAGCCGAAGTTCGCTATAAGAAAAATGTCCCCAAATAGTTGATCAAATTAATTCATTTGGATAATGTGTCACTAGTCAGAGTTCCATATATAATTAGGGTTTAATGTGATTGATAATGTTAATCTCAGTATAATTTTTCTTTTTAAAATTGAAGTAGAGAGCACAGGTAATTAGCTAAAATAGTATTATACAGACAGTTCATTCAAATATAATGCCAGTATTTTGCCATGTTCTTGCTCCATATCTACTTTCGAGTCAATAGTGAATCCTATGAGAGCAATACTAATAGCCTTCTTGTTCAATAAGTTAACAATGCACATGCTATTCAATCCCCTATATTCTTTGTAGCAAATTTTTAACTCGATTAGAGCATTTTAAACTTCAGTCTATTGGGACGTTGATATGTGGTTCTACACCATCTATGCATGCCAATTAAGTTTATTTTACATGCATTGGTTATTGTTACAGACATTTGGTTACATGCATAATTCTTCCTTCTGTCCATATTTATGAATTTTATCTTTGACATTTATATATATCCTTCAACAGGGACCGCAATATGTTTGTACAACATTCCTGACATTTGTCTGTACAAATTGTAGTGGAGTACAGTAAGTATTGAAATCACTATTCAATTATCTGCATATAGGAAATTGTCGGTTCCATATTACTTTCTATTTTTACGATGAATTTGTATAAACTGAATTTGAAAAGACATTTTTGAAATTGTAGCAATATAGATATTTCAACATTGCTTATCTTGATCCAATTTCATGATTCCCCAGTCGTGAGTTTACTCATCGAGTAAAATCAGTGTCAATGGCAAAATTCACGGCAGATGAGGTGACTGCTCTTCAAGCAGCAGGCAATGAGGTGAGATGCAGTTCCCTTGATGTTAATTGGTTCATTATTAACATCTCGTATGCCACTAACCTTGAGTTGTAATTACCTAGAGAGCACGGCAAATATATTTAAAAACATGGGATCCCCAGCGTCATACTTATCCAGAAAACAGGTTATTGAAGTCATTATATATTTTTACATGCTGTAATTGGCATGTAATTTCTTCTAATTCCTATGTTTTCTCGCAGCAATCTCCATCGGCTTCGGGACTTCATAAAGCATGTCTATGTTGACAGGAAATACGCGGGTGAGAAAAGTGTTGATGAGCTCCCGAGGTTGAGACTTGTAAGCTCCTCTGATATGTATACTCATTTTGGTTAACATTCATTTAGCTTATTTCCATGCTCTGCATTCACGAATTGAAATGCTTATACTTCCAATAAGATCATTGATAAAGCCAATGTTTTCATGTGTACGCAGTCCTCTTTCCACGTTATTTTAAATATAAATTTCATCTCTTGTTTATTCAAAGTTTCATCTTGACATTTTGCATTTGAGTAAATTTCCCTTCGCTATGAGCATTTTGGATATAAACCAACAATGACGTATCTGTATGCTGGAAACTCAGAGTAAAATCGTTTCCATATGTTGACAGAATGTTTCGTATAATACAGACTGATAAGGACTCATCACAAGAAGGGAGAAAGACTACTCCGTATTATGGTGGTTTACAGAGCCTGCAAGATGAAATGCCAAGATCTAGTTCAAAGAGGGAACTTAGGAGTCCAATTTTTTACTACGATGAGAGAAGCAGTCCTCGTTATTCAAAAGAAAACTCCAGATCTGGAGGCTATAGGAGAAGCCTCACACGCATTGAGGTTGTAGATAATAGAATCAAAGATGATAGACATGGAATTCGCAAGCTCGCAAGTGGAGATTTCCAATCGACTATCCAGTTAAACCGTAGTCAAGAAAACTTAGAGAAGTCTTTTCCTGCATTGGCACGTGATAATAAAGATACGACGGTCAAAATTGAACCTCCCAGAAGAGTTGAGGAGGATGTTAGAACAAATAAAGGGATGGGCGCTGGTGGTTCTGATCAGGTTTGTAGCCGATAAGGTTGCTGGACTTGAGTGTTCTGGTCAATTCTGATTAGCGGTATTATTTGTTCTGTGATGTCAATTTTTGCAGTGCTATTATATATTATTGTTCTATATCTTTCCTCAGGACTATGATTTGAATATGGTTCTTCTATTTATTTAATTATGCTAATCTCATTGGAGGACAGGAAACACTGGTAAGTAAATATGCTATTGCAGGATCTCCTTCTTGAGGCTTGATGTCCATTGTTTCAAATGAAACCATGCTGTTAACTTCTTTGTCATTTTATTCATTGAACTCTTTTTTCTTCCCCATTTTGGGCAAAGTACTTGGCACGTTGAAAGTTGTTGCATGCAATTTTTCCAGATCAGGTATAAAATTTGCTGTTGTCCTTATACCTAACCCAATAAGTCGTGCTTAAGATTCCAGATTTGATCTTTCCATTGGTTGTCTTTGTGATCTCTTTACACAGAAACTGACCCGTTAGTGTTTGCTAGCTTATACTTCAGTTTTCAAATTGACTTCTTCCATTATGTTGCATCGTCCTGCCACCAGAATGTTGTTCGTGCCAATCCAGTGGAAACTAAAATAGACAACGTAGAGAGCCTAATTGACTTTACCAGTCCTGAGCCTTCTGAGGCTGCTACTGCCACATCACAGACCCAAGAGATGCCTTCATCTAATAATGACAACTGGGACGCTTTTGAGTTATCTTCAACGAAAAACACATCAGCAGCGCCCAGTGCAAATACTTTGGAAGCTTTGCTTTTTGAATTATCAGTACCATCATCTGGAGCTGGAGCTGATAATAATCTGACTGATGGACCTATAAAAGCTGATGCTCCATCAACTGTTTCTGGAAGTACTCTTACACCGGATTTCACTACGAGGCAGACAGCACTACCAATTAGCTTTGAGTGTTCCGTAGCTGGATCAACTGAAAATGTACTACTGCAACCTTCTAGTGCAAGCCCTCCACAACTCACATCCAATAAAGGTGGTGACATTGCACTAGAAGTTATTAATGGACAGCAGCCTCCAAACACGCAGCAAAAACAGACTTCTAATTATCCTTCTGGAGATAATGGTTTGAACTCACAGTCACAACTGATAACTTCAGCTGTTGTTCCAAATTTTGAAGTGAGTTGCTTGATGTGAGTTTCTGATCGGAAGAAATTAAGCTCAACTCTGCCTTAAAATTTCTTAACATATTGCTTCGTTTGCGGCTGCACACATCTATTTGCTGCAGTGGACTTCTTCACAGGAATCAAATTCACAAGGACATTCAAGTGTTTCAGCTGAAAAGGTAGATGCTGATTCAAAACCAGCTCAGGGTACCACCAATGGAGTTGGATTCCAACCTCCATCTACGGAAAAGAGTTCTAGTGGAAGAAAGGAACTTCCTCTGGTAATAAGTTTAAATATCATTCATTTATCACTCATGCTTTAAATTAATGATTTGCATAATCTTATTTACAGGACCTTTTTGCTGTAAGCTACCCTCCAGTTGCCACCTCGCATCCAGGTTGGCAGGCTGTAACTAATCGTGTCATGGATCACAGCTTGCAGTATTATCCCACCCCAGCGGTATAGTTTTTTTCTTCTTCTATTCTTTTCAAAAATATATCATAGATAATTAATCCATCATTTTTGTTTGCAGACTGCAAGACCAACAAACCCATTTGATCTGGATGATGGAAAAAGTAGTATTTACTCACAAGTACGAACACAACCAGACATTTAATGATTTCTACTCTTTCCATTATTTCATCCAGCTAGTTTACATTTAATCATTTTGCATGTGTTCTTTGCTTAATCCTCCGCTGCTTTAACTTATATCACACAAATTCATCCAATATATCTCATTGAGAATAGAATTAATTATGGATTGAATAGAAGCAATCTTTAATCCATTTGTATGCGTGTGAAGCATTTATGTGCAAATCTTGGGATCCATTATATAAATATTGAGTTTCACTTGTTGAGCTGCTTTTATCACCCTAGTTGTACACCTGCAAAATTAGCAAGTGATTCTTAATCTGAAGACTTGTAGAGGGACAGAGGTGAAATTTCATTTTTGTTGGTCTGATACATCTTAGTATTTGTGGATGAATGTTCCTGACATTCGTCACGCATTTCTTGGTAGTGTGAATATTACTTGGATAGACCGAATTTTATCCAACATAAATTCACCGATAGTTGTACCTATAGAATTGAGCTGTGAAGCATTGGATAAAATGAACTTTTTTTTTTCTTTTTTTACCGCTATATTATGGCTTTCCTCCTTCCATGGCTTACATAATTAGAATTATTTCCTTGTACGCCATATTTGCAGAGTCCTCCTACCAGCATGCCAGCTTCTACAGGCTTAACTCACGGTTATAACTACCAAGCCGAAGCCCAATATCCAGGTATGATCCCTGAAAGTTCTCTTCGTAATCACCTTCAAATCTTTCAAAGGGCTCATTTTCCTTTTAAACAAATCTCAGGCTCATACGTGGGGCAACAGTCGTATGGGAATATTCCATCTTTAAGGTAAATTCTGTTTATGCAAATTTTAAATTACATTAGGATTACTTTTCTTCGGCCTTCAGTTCATTTAGTTTAGCTCCCAATATTTGTATGGTTGGGAATATCTCTCCTGATTAAGAAATTCCATTTTAAAACCAATTGCCATGTTTATTATAAACCTTTGTTAGGTCCCTTATTTTTTCAATGTGGGATTCTTAACACTATTTAACTCCTTTCATTATCTCCGTTAAAATACGTGATACATTCATCTATTACTTATTTGTCAAATCATGTTAATCTAGTTTTTATCAGGTAAACATGTCACATCAAATATTTCATTAATAGTATTAATGACAATGACTAAATAGCAGTCTATCCAAATTCCAAAGTTTATAATACACAAAGTTCATAGTTCATGTACCAAATCAACCATTCTAAGAATTTAACCCAAAAAAGAATATCTTAAATGGATAATTATTTTGTCGCTGCAGAGCACAGGGAGTAGATAACTCTGGAGGATCCTCGTTCCCACGTCCTTTTGGGTCCTTCAACGCCGCACCTGCGCAGCCAAGTAGCAGATATCCAGCCCCTAATACAGACCCAGTTGCTCCTTCCTTTGGCAACAACCCCTTTGGATAGGCTTCACAAAATCTCTGTGCCTCCCGAAATCAGGTCATCTCCTTCGCCTTCCTTCCTATGTTTCCAGCATACTTCTAATCTATAGGATATCTCCATGAAGTAAGTATATATTAGGATGCGACTTGTGAGTGCTGAAAAAATGATCTGCATGTACAGATTTACCCCTGAGATCATCATATAGAAACTAACCATATGACTGCTCCTAAAATGGTGACTTACCCTTGTGATGAGTCATCGTGACATTGGTTTTATAATGTATGATTTGTTTTTCTTTTGAACTATTGATAATTTTGAGCGTTTTGAAGATGTGTATTATACTGTGGATTGTGTTTGTATCTTTTGTAATAGAGACAATGAATTGAAAATCTGGAACTATGCCAGTGTGTGATTAATTTGAAGTTTCAACTTCTCAAATATGTCGTTTTGTAGATTTTGAATTTGAATGTACTTTAGTTTGCTGTGGTTAAAACAGTCGAGGAAAAAATGAATTCAAAGTCGATTTATATAATTTGAGGCTATATATATATATATATATATTATTACATATATATGACTTGTGAAACCAACCTGAATATTAGCTCATTTGGTTGAGACGTAAGCTCTAGAGAATAAACAAACAAACATTATTTGACAAAAACAACGAATCAACTCAAGCTTTATCTTAAAAACAAAATTTTTCCAACATTATCAGTCCTACTCGTATTTGTGTTTGTGGGTGTCATATAACGGTTGAATTTTGTTGCGGAATACTGGCATTGTGGTGGTTGAATTAATTATTTATAAATTTAAAAACGGACAAAAAAATAAAAATAAAAATAAAAGAAGAAGAAGAAAAATTACATGTAACAATGTGATTAGCTGGTGTTCCACCTTTCTAACCACATATTTCTCATTATAATTTATCTGGAAGGAAATTACTTTTTTGGTCCCTCAAGATTCTTTTAATTTTAAATTTAGTTTTGATTTGGACCTAGATTTCAAATTGAACCATAACGTATAGGAGCTAAAAATAGTTGCAAAATCTTAAAAACATAAAACACAGCAGAAACGTTAATTATTATAATAATAATAGTAAATCAATATCTAAGCTAATATTGTATAAATTAACTATTATTGCATGAATAACAAAAATATGTACACACTATAAAATTAATTAAATGGTCGTAAAAAAAAATACAAAATCATAAGTCCAAATTCCCACCCATGAATTTCTTTAAAGAAAAAGACTAATTAGATATTTAAAATTGTATTATTAAAAAGGAAAAACATATTTACAGATATTTTCGACAATATCGTGATTCTCATTCAAGGTAGGCAGTATAGTCGTACTGGAAACAGCGAGCTTACTTGAGAAAAACGGCGGCGTTTTCGTGTAGAAAGCAACTCAATTTTCGGTGAGAAAAAAAAAAGAACAAAAGATTTCCCCTCCTTTTTTCCGCCCTTTTTCGTTCTGGTTTATAAAATGATCGAAATCGACGCTGCCATTTCTGCCACCACCACTTCCTCTGGTTTCCGATATGAAACTATGGATAGATTTCGTGCAACCTGTTTCCCGCCATTGAATTCGCCTTGAAGGAGACATTTCGAGAGAACGAAGCCGATTTCGTTGTTGCTGCTGTCTGATCAATCGTCACAGCAGCTCAGCTGCTCGATAATGGCAGAACTTCGGAACTCGAATGGCAGAATTCGACTGTCATGATTGTTCAATGAAGTCGACCTACTATACGGTGAATGTTTTCTTTTGAAACTCTTCTGCTCTCCCTCTCACTGTCTTTGAGTAAGTGTTGTGGATTTCACAGTTCAACACATTGAGTGAAACTTGTTCGATTTCAAAGTCGACTAGTATTACTCTGTTATCAGCCTTCTTTCTTGTTTTCTTAGTTATGTCTATGTTCAGGGCTTCGTTCATTGATGAGGATGCTGTCTCCAGTTTCCAATTTGCTGGAAATAGTATCGCGTTTATGCTTCATCAAGCTACTCGAGCAGTATGAAGGGCCACGAACAGAAGGTAAGTTATAGTCCTTTGATTCAACCTTTCACTGCGATGTCTCCGCGATAACTAATGTTCGCGTCGTGTCCGTCTTAATGATCAGGCATATCAATTCTTGAAATAAGATTTATGAATTTTGAATGAGATGGAAAATCTTGATTTCGTCGTTGGTGTGTACCTCTCGGTCCACTGTTTTCCTTATTGTAGCTAGAATCAAATTAGTAAAGAAGTAGATAGCACCTACCATTGGGTTTCCTTTACGTTTAAGTTGTTTTCTTCTTCTACTTTATTCAGCTCTTTGTTCCCTCTGTAATTGTTGGTGTTTTTTTGAATCCCCTTTATTCATTGACCAACAGAAATTCTCTGCACTTCAACAACTGTTTCTATGGGAATGTGTAAGTGTCCAAAAGAAAGTTATGAAAAGGGAGGAGGAGATAAGGCATCGCATCAACCCTTCTAATGCCAGGGAGTTCACAATAAGTTGTTTCGTGGCTTGAATAGAAAAAAAATTGTTCTCTAATGTTGTCGTCTTTTATTTTTTATCTTCTTGTCAGTGATATATGAGACAGAGTAAGCAGCTTAACTTCGAAGAGAAAAAGTGGGTGCCTTCTGCGTTTAATTCCTTCATCGATACCTTAAAAAACACAGAAAAGAGAGACAACCTGACTGCTTGCGTCTGTTGTTTAACGATTTTGAAGAAGAAAGAAGGACAGTTTGACTTATTATTGTCAAGCTTCTTATGAAACAGGAGTCATTATTGATTTCTCTCGTTTTGCATCATAGATGCCAAGAACAGAGGACATTCTCAACCTTCCGGTGCAAGATCCTCCATGCTTGGTGTTTTCTGCTGCTCATATCAAGTGGGAAAAAGTAGAAGGTGGTCGTCAAGGTGGTGCTGATATTGCTCTAGTCCCATTTTCTAGAGTTGAAGATTTCGTTAAAGGAGAATCTTCCAATGCAGATTGTCCTGCTCGCTTCCGCATTGAATCAAGAAGGAAGAGAACTGCAGGGAGGGTCAGCAAGCCAAGGGTTGATGGTTATCTCGAATATATATTGTATGTTGTATCTGTATTTTGTAGTCCTGCTGGTGGTTGAATGTCTCTTTTTGGTCCTTCCCTTGCTTTTTCTTGACTCCTTTTGATGTACCTGAAGATACTGCTTCCAGTGTAATCAACGGATCTCTGTGAAACAGTGGACCTAAATAATCCCATTTCCCCATAACTGGCAAAACTTATAGACTCAAGTTTGGAGGAAAGAGCATTGCTAAAAATATTTAAAAATTTCAAGAAGTAATAGACATGAGTATGATCTCCAAAAAATTATTTGGATAATGCTAGCTGTAGTATTTTAGTTTATTCGCATGATTGACCTCTTAAATGCTTAAATGTAACATGATCAGGTACTGGTGTTCTTACGGTCCAGAAGATTATCGAGTAAGTGAATCAGGTATTAGGAGTAGCTCAATCATCAAACCTGCATCAGGGAAGGGCAGCAGACCAGGAAGATGTCACATGATGAGAGGCTGCCTCTGCCATTTCACTGTTAAGCGCTTATATGCACGGCCACATCTTGCTCTCATCGTCTATAACCAAAGGAAGCATGTTGACAAGTCAGGAGCCCCTTGCCATGGGATACTTGATCATGATGCTATTGGAACGAGAGCTATGTATGCTCTGAGAATTTCAGAGGAATTACGTCAAAAGATTATGTCCATGCTGTATGTAGGAATACCTATTGACAATATTGTTCAGCACCATCTAGAGGTTGTACAGGGGCATGGGGGACCCCAAAATCGTGATGATTTTCTTTCTCGTAATGATGTCCGTAACATGGAAAGAGTTATTCATAGTTCTTCACATGAGCTACATACAGATGATGATTGTAGTGTGAAGATATGGGCACAACGTCATAAGAAAAACATTTTCTTCTTTCAAGAGAGCAGTGACCGTGAGCCTTTTGTCTTGGGCATACAGACAGATTGGCAGCTACAAAAGATGTTGCATTATGGCTGTAACAGCTCTGTTGCCTGCCATTCAACATTTGGATCGAAGAAACTACGGGTATATTTTCGATTATGTCATGTCCTTGTGAATTGTGAGATGACTTCTCATGCTCTCCATGTGGTGTCAATATAACATCCTTTGCCTTCCATAAAGGAAGAAAGAATGTCATAACTTGACAGTGTAGTCCCACTTTCGGCATACATAGGTACCAAATTTGTACAGCAGTCGTCCATCTTGTATGTGTGGTTAACCTTATAAAAGACGAAAATAAATTTAGAAATTAGAACAGTATATAAAATGCTCGAGTTTGAGGTTTAATTAGTGCAAGGTAGGGATAAGCATGTCCTTGAACAACTAAGCAAACATTAAATCGTTTCAACGACACGGTCAAGAAGGTGCCACGTAGTTGTGAAATGTTTGTCATTCAATGCCAATATTTATGGTACTTATGAGCTAAATGTCTCTGTATCGTATTGGCTCGATGAATCAAATGAATAGTCTGAACTCTGACCTATTGTCTTACACTGTCTGCATGATATGATAAAGAGAACGATGTAGTAGATTTCTCAAGTTCTTGTTTCATTCTTGAATAGAGATAGCAATATTTTGTCCCTAATATTTTGACATCTCATGGCAGTTTCCACTCTGTACTATACTTGTTTTTGACTCATCCCAAAATGCTATTCCTGTTGCTTGGGTTATTGCATCCTCTTTTGTTAATCAAGACATTCGGAAATGGCTTGGATTGCTAGCTGAAAGACTGCATGCGAAGGATCCCAGATGGAGAATCGATACCTTTTTATTAGATAATCCTTTTTTCGAGGCTTCTATTATAAGGTTAGTTCTGGATGTGCATTCTATATAGAGGGTGCAATTGGTTTTTAAACAATCATTTTTAATGTTGATGTCATGGTTATTTCCAGGGAGGCCTTTCAATGTCAGGTTCTATTATGCACATGGCATGTTCGTCGCAGTTGGATTAAGAATCTTCTTAATAAGTGTTCTAACTCGGATGTGCAAAGAGAGATGCTTAAGCAATTAGGGCAAATTTTGTATTGCACGAGGACTGGGCCAAGTTTTGCAGATGTGGTTGAAGAGTTTAAGCAAATATTTGCTGATCAATGTGTCTTTGTTGATTATTTCACGAGAAGATTGTTGCCAGACATAGGTAGGTTCTTATTGAAGTTGGTTATTGCAAATACAAGTTAAGTACCATGATTATCATCTTCTAGTAGTTTAGTTTTTTAGTTATTATCGAACCATATGGAAAGGATAATTTCCATCTAATTCGTTACTGCTTTCATTATAATTTTACCTTATAAACATGCATGCTGTAATTTAATCTTTGATACCAAATATATTAGAAGGAACCATCAAGTGATTAATGCTTGTTATAGGCCATTGTAGATATGCCGCATTATGATCTCGAATCATTGATCTCAAGTCTTAACATGGTTTCATGTTTTACAGTATTGTGGGTTAATGGTATACGGTCGCTCCCTGTTTCCACTTTGGAGGCTAATGCTGCGATTGAAGCATATCACATAAGATTAAAATCCAAGCTTTTCAAAGAGCAAAGCAACAATGCCTGGTCAAGAGTTGACTGGCTGATCCACACTCTTACAACTCAATTTCACTCCTCATATTGGTTAGACCAATACAGTCTAGAGACTGGATGTTTTGGAAATTTCAGAGATAAATCCTTCTTAAATAATGCATGGAATAGGGCACTACATATCCCAGATGTTGACGTTATGCTGGATGAGCCAAATCTTCAGCTTGCAAAAGTAATGTCTCAGTCAAAAAGAAATGTGGAATATATAATTTGGAATCCTGGTTCAGAGTTCTCATTATGTGATTGTCCTTGTTCAAGGATGGGAAATCTCTGTAAACATGTCATCAAAGTCTCAATGTTATGCAAAAGGCAGCAAGATGCATGGCCATTATTGGCTGCTCAAGTTTACCAGGATCGTGTGCTAAACCTTCTGCACAGCCCTGCAGATAACTCTGTTGTTTTTGACCATGCCATTTTACATGTGACTTGCACTCAACAAGAAGTAAAAGGCTTGGATAACTTGCCAGATGGTGGCTTTCTCCAGCCCTTACATCCTGATATTAATTCCCAATTAGAACATAATGTTCCCTTTTCTCCACATCACCAATAATTTTATGGTTTTTAATGAGAACCATCATATGGGCTTTTTGACTGATGATGGAAGTCAGCATATGAGTTTTTCTGGAGCATGATGCAAGCTTCAATGTATACTAAAACTCCCCACGTTCAACTCGGGTGGTACAAATTTTCTTCCTGGGTCTTGTTACTCTCCAATCTTCATTAAATCATCTGTTGGCTTCTGAGAGCATGTTTTAAGGGATGGTTTTGTGTATCAGATTCTGATATTATGTATTTAATAGCCATTTTACATATTAGATTATGATCCGTCAATTTCTGATGCAATTTTTGGATCAGTTTCGCTGTGTAATAATTATATATTCAACTTTTGTCAGATCAACTGTGAACAAATTTACTTGTCCTAACATGCATGGGCAAGTAGAAAAAGCAGAGTTGTAATGTGAATTCTTCGTTTGTCTAGGATCTGAGAGTTTGAGAAGGATGCAATACAGCTAATTGGGCAATGGGCCATTAAGGATGACCACTCTGTCGACGAGTCATGAGGTGAGGAAGTGTGGAGAGACAATCAACAACTTTCCTCTTTGGATTAGTGGTAGATATCCATTTAGACTTTATTGAGATCTACATTTGGTCATTAAATATGTTTTACTTTTGAAAACCTTGTCTATAGCTTTGGGCAAATGCTTTAAAAAATTTTCTTGGAGCATCTGATAATTTTCAATGGGGAGGCTAGCGTAATTTTTTGTATCTTTACACATTGAGTTTAGAAACTATTTTCTCTTTGTAATTAATTTAAATTGGGGTGGCTTCTTGTAAAAACCCCTGTGGGATGCCCTGATATATGAAAGACCTTATCTATATAGCTGTAATTTTGGTAGAATTTTCTGCTACTCTTGACTAATTACTTGCAATTTCTTTTCAGATTTTCTATAACTTTTGTTTGTTAAGATGAGTTATGCGTGGCATTGATCATTGCTTTTCTTTAATTAAAGGGAAACTAGCAAAGCTAATCTGTGCAGGCTTCCAAATTGAAGCCAGCTTGAGAGTTGCCTGATGTGATAATCTGCTCCCGATTGCTCAGCTAGACTGTTTTTCGAGTAGGTTGGAAAATATATCTGAACTTTAGAAGAACGAATTTGTGACAGAGAATCAGAACCTGGGAAGGAGCAGAATGGTAGTACCATCTTTGTCGACTTCAAAATTAATCCATGAAACTGGTCGTAGCAAGCGTTTCCGAGAGATCGTAATTTACAGGCCTGGTCAGAAATAATTTACACTGCAAAGTTGATTTTCCAGTGAAAAAGTTGTATTGTAACCTGAAATTCTGCAGCTCGAGAAGCTTGCAGACACAGAGAGCCTTATTGTGCGCCACATTGAGGCAGCAAGAGCTCAATTTATTGTTTATCACGACTACTTCATTCAGTGTACTTGATATGTGACCAAAACTTGATGGTAAAACATCCATAGAACTTGTTGGCAAGAAAAATTACAGAAACTGGTGAGTTTCCAAAATTGTTGGGCAGTTCAAAAGCGAACAAATTGCAGTTGATAAAAATGGCATCAAGATCTTTGTCAAAAAGATATCGAGGTACTCACCTTCAAGCTCATTGAACCAAAAGCTCAAGGTGTTTAAGACTTGGAAAATTAAGAACAACATGGGGAAATGTACCTACAAACTGATCGTTACTGATTTTAAGCTCAGAGGAGCTTAAGTCTTTGGCAACTGCTTGGAACTTGATTGAAAGGCGTTCATGAAGGTGGACGACTCGCAGACTCGAGCTGCACTTTGCAGTTCTGCTGCCTCTGCTTAGTGTATGAACCTGTATGATAATTTCTGTGCTATGATGAGCCAAACAAGTGTGAGAAAGGTGATGAAAGAGGATGGTAAATTGTTTTTTCATTTCGTATCACAATTTAGAAAATGTCACTGAAACTTTTATTCTGGAAAATGAAAAGAATTTACAAGCGGGTTCTCTTTTCCTTGCTTCTTAGCTAGGGAGAGGAAAGAAGATTTGTGAATCACAAGAACTGAGAGCTTTTGGAATGATTTATGTAGGTAAACCCCATCTAGTTTATAGCTAATATTACTTAACCCCAAAAGTTTATTTTCTGACTGAAACTTGAAAAATGTATATTCAATCAACCAAAATATTGTCCCAGATCTTAGATTTCTTCTGGTTAAAGCCAAACCTCTAGATTTTAATATAGAAACTGAGACTTGAAACCATCTAAAGGGTTCAGTCAAAGTCACTAATGTTACTCAGGTTTCATTATTTTAATGTGAAGTTGCAGGCTCCTTACTCTTAGATTTTGCAGGTTTCAGGGACAACTGAGGGAAACCCATTACGTTTGTGGGGCTACCATTCCTGAGCGTCGTCTTTGGGTCAGTGACTTCTTTCTACTCTGCTGATGCTTTTGATCTAAATGATTCTTATATCATCTCAAATTTTTAATAATAAATATTTGAAGCTACACTATCTGAATGATTCTATAGTTGCTCGTACTTATTGTTATTGTTTTTAGGTTTCAATAAATTTTGGGTCTCTAGTTTTGATTTTGGTTCATGTTAGTGCATACTTTCAAAACATTCATTTTTGTCCCAGTAGTTTTAACTTTTCGTTTATTTAGTCCTTGTACTTTCAAACATTCGTTTTGGTTCCTATACTTTTAAAAAGTGACTAATTTGATCCCTATTTGCAAAATTTTGACACACATTTTAGGTTATATTTTAAAAAACTTAAAAAAGTTAGTGAGTGAAGTGTTAGGGTAATACTATGTTCGAAAAAAATGAGATAAAAGCTGAAAATGGATGGACTAAATTGGTTACCTTTTAAAAGTATAGGGATTACAACAGATGTTTCGAAAGTACAGTAACTAAAATGATCAAAAGTTGAAAGTACAAGAATCAAAATGAGTATTTTTAAAGTACATGGACCAAAATAAACTAAAAGTAGAAGATCCAAAATATTATTTAAACCATATTTTTATAAATCAAGTTGGATGCCTTTTCCTTTTTTCAACTCAGTACTGAAGGGTCGATATGCTTGAATTAGTTAAAGGATGGATAGCCTTGATATGGTCGTAAGTTTGAATATCCATCTCCACTCCTATAGGTTTTAGGTTCGAATCTCCATCCTCGTAGTTGTTTAACGTTTTAGAAAGTTCTAACCATTCCTTATGGCTGAGAATAGTAGGACAGGTAGCTTAACTTGTCTCTTGGTGACCTTTAGCCATTATTCCTTCCTGTGATTCTTCTTTTTGCTTCAATTCTTGACTATCTTTTATTTCTACATATCCCAAGAACTCTATGCGGTGGAGATTTTATCCAAAAGGCTCCTTTGAATCTATTGCACGAATTTTTCTTCCATCCTAAAGTGATACATCTTTGATATTATTCACTCTGCTCATCTTGGTTTGAATTTTTGATATTTTGAAACTGATATTTCTTAGATTTTTAGGGAAAAGAAAATTAAAAAAATTCAAGAGAATTAGATGTCTGGGGGCAGTTACAAAAGCAACAAATAAAACAGTCATTCTGAAAAATGGGAATTTAGCATGAAAAATTATTGATGCTACCACGAGATTTGCAGGCTAGTGTGGTGTCTAGGTCAGACAAGGAGCTTAGTTGAGAATATCACTCTATACCTGTCCTCTTATTTATAGAGAGAGTCTTTTTTAGTTGGATCATCCAGTCCGGTCGATTTGATCGGATGTGACAGCCTTGTTTTTTCTATTTTTTTCCTAAGTGAACTTAATACGGCAATTTTACCTCGCCCATGACCAAAATAGTTCCCAAGTAGATTAAAATTCTGAAAACCAGTCGTTATCAACCAAAAAAAGAAAGGAAGATAAATAAGTGGGCTACTTTCCCCCCTTTGGAATTAAAAAAAAAAAAAATCCACTTTTGATTGATTCCGATATTTCTTCAAATCTTCCATGAGATTTAGTTCTTGTTAAGAAGGGGGCATAAAGAATCCATGAAAAAGGCTGTCTATCCTTTTGGATTATTCGAGCACAGCCACGTCCATACCTCCCAAAATCTGAACATTTTTATCCAAATTTGCCATGAAAAGGAAATTTTTACAAAAGAAAAAAAGTTACATATCCATATCCTTATCCATATTTTAAACTTTTAGGGGCGTTTATTTTTTTGGTACACAGACGTTCGAAATCTTCAAATAATTGAAATTTTAGATGTCCTACATTTTTAGATAGTTATGTTTGTTTGTTTTGTAGGAAAGTTTATAAGGATACTTGAGAATATTTGGATAGTCATATTTGTTTTGCAAAATTTAAGATATGTTTGTGAATGTCAAAATTACTTTCATTTTAAAATAGAATGTTTGACAATCATTTATTAGTAATTTTGGAAAAATTCAAAACCACTTTTAAGTGATTCCCAATCAATCACATTGATTCTCCAAGTGATTTTTGACTAAAAAATTAATAGAAAATTAGTTTTTAAAATGGTTATTGTTTCGGTTTTCAAAATTGTTTTCTATTCATCTTATTTTCACCTTAAATTTTGAGAAATTTTTCTCTTGTAATCTCTCTCTAAATTTTAGCTCCCACCTCTTTATTTCCGAGTCTAAAATTTATCACTTATTCTCTAAAATTTCTCTTTCTAAGTTGTTTGTTTCTCTCAAACTTTTCTCCCTCTAATAATTTTGTCAAATTGTCCCTTAAACTTTAAATATTAATCATTTAAAATTATTTTTAATTATATAAAAATCACTTGGAAATCTCTTTGCCTAAAATTACTTATTCTAAAATCATTCTTAAATAGGCCTGCATATGTTGTAAATCTATGTAATGTTTTAAAAATGTCCTTACCAATATTTGATATAATTTATATATTGAACTTGAATGAGTACACTTAATACATTTCTTTTATTCAACCTAAGAATAAGTGAAACGTAATAAAATTTATAAGTTTTGGCATAGCTATTTAATAGTTGAAATGAAACTTAATTTTAATAAAATTTCATTTTGTGTGAAGCTTGATTTTTATAAAATTAGTAACTTTTGGGAGTTTTTTACATTTTGTTTTATTATAATCACTGAATAAATTAGAGAAAATTGAATAGAAAGATAAATGTTGCAACATTTATCTAAGTTTAGGGTTTAATTTGATGAATTGAAAGTTTATGATAAAAATTGATACAATTTGTCAAATTTAAGAGTAAACACTTTAAATTATATTAATATGAATAAATTTCAATAACATGGTATAGTTTTTTTTTTTTTTAATTCAGAAACAGGAACTGAGGATTTGTTTTTGGTCCTTAGAACGATAATAGGTTTTCTTATCCCTTTAAACTATTTTTGAGTTGGCAATAATATATTATAGTTTTGAATTATGTGTTAAAATAAAGTTTATCAATTTCCCTCCTGCCCTTGCCCTCTGAAAGAGTTATAAATTCATTTTTCTAATCTGGGAAAATGGTTTGAATACCAAAGTTTGCAAACATGAACTTAGCTCAACATTAAATGGTATCTTACCAGACCCAATTCCAGAACTTCGAATGGCCGGCATGCTTTGGACGGTAGAACGGGGAGAGGGAGAGTCGTGCCCATTCTCGCTCCGGACATGAACAGGAACATCAAAATGAAAGACCGAAGACATGTACACGATGGAATGACATATTTCAAAATACATGATCTGATTTGTTTGATAGGCTGCCTGCAAAAATAGTTTACCGACCGCATAACAATTCATTCTTGTGTGTAGCGCGTGGGGCCGAGGTACAAACTCTCACTCCTCCCATTTGTTGTACTAAAAAAATGAATACCAAATTGATATCTATAGAAATATGAAGGTTTAAAATTTCATTTTAGGTCTTAAGATTATTTCATTTTATCTAGAATTTTCAAAATATTACTTCAAGTAAATGAATTAATATCCCTTTCATAAAATAATAATAATAAATAAGTAAATGTATTAAGATATTAGTGTGGTATGTATTCAAACTACCTCCATTGTATCAAATAACAAAATAATACAANAAAAACAAAATAATACAATAAAAATCAAAATGATATACTTTGAACAATGATTAAAATAGATATTATGAAAATTTATAGGGTAGAATAATAAACATAAAACTTAATATACAAGAAATAAAGATGGGTGGATGAAAACAAATAACAAAGTGGGGTAGAATCAAGGTTCAAGATGTTGATATCGATGGAAATGTCGAGGTCTCGATTTTACGGATATGTCGAGGACATGTCGATGTCGATGGATATTTCAGAAAAAATTAATTTACGAAAATAGTGGATATTGATGGAAATTTTTTAAATTAGTAAATAATACAGAGCTTAATTATCCTATAACTAATCACTTCTAACCATCCTATCTAATCATATAAGTAATATACTTAAATTAAAGTTTAATGTTGTTTTTTTATTGATAATTTTTAATCAATCTAATTACATAATTTAAATGTTTAATAATAATGAATTAAATTGATTTTCTTTCTATTAATTTGGTTTAAGATTTAGTTAGTTAACTTTATTTTTCTTGTAAATCAATTACTTGAAGATTTTTTTAGATTTTTTAGTTAAATTTAATTTAAAATTTGTTTTTTTAAAATCGATTATATGTTTTTTTTTTAGATTTTGTTAGAATTTTTTAGTTAAATCGAGTTTAAGAATAAGTTTTTTATAAATCGATGGTTTATAATCTATTTCTTTTAAGATTTTATTAGATTTTTATAGTTAAATTTAATTTGACGTTTGTTTTTTTTTTCTCTTTTTTAACAAAAATGATAAGAATAAAATGTTGAATAATAATTAGTTAAATTGACTTTAATTATTTGTTTGGTTTAAGATTTCATCAGTTAAATTTAATTTAAAATTTGTTTTTCTTTTAAATCAATTATTTAAGATTTTGTTAGATGTTTTAGTTAAATTAATTTAAATTAAGTTTTTTATATATCAATTGTTTATAATCTATTTCTTTAGTTTATTAGATTTTTATAGTCAAATTAATTTGAGGTTTGTTTGTTTCTATTTCTTTAAGATTTTATTAGATTTTTATAGTTAAAATTTAATTTGACGTTGGTTTGTTTGTTTTTTTTTCTTTTTTGAACCAAAATGATAAGAATTTAATTTTAATTTCTTTAAAAGAAAATTAGAAAATGCTCGACATTTCCTCGACATGTCGACGACATTGGGGGAAACACGATTTTCTCCCTCGATGTCAAGACCGTGTGATGTGTTGAGTGAAATTTTGAATCTGGGGTAGAATAATAATTTAACTGAAAATTTTCAACCATCCATTTTTGACGAACCAAAAAAAAGAGAAGGAATGTCGACGTGGCAATGATGAGGCCCATCCCCATCACGTTCTTTTCCTCCTTGTTTGTTCCGTTAAGCATCAAAATAGCTGTTTCCATTTAAGAAAACTCAGGTTTACGTGATTCACCTTCTTATTCTTCCCAAATAATTATTATCCGAAACTCTTTATTATTTTCCTGGTTATTTTTTTTTTTTCATTATTATATTTCACCGTTATCCGTCCACGTCAATTTTCTTGCTGGACACGTGGCTTCAAAAACGGCGACGTTTTGCTTCCCCTTCCGCCACTTCAAATCACGACCGTCGAAACCGAATCTCCTTGACTCGGTCTTTGGCTTCAGGCATAATCAAACACGCTTCAAGATCACCGACAATTTCGTATTTCCGAAAAATTAATAAATAAAAGAAATAACAACTGTAATCCATCTTCCTCGGTCCCACCTCCCTCTCTCAGCCGTCCGATTAAGCTTCGCTTGGTGTCGCACAGATTCCCTACTGTTTTTTTCCAACAATCCTTTTGTTTTCTTTTTCCTTCTCCGTTGGTTTTTATTTATTCATCCAACATTGTTGTTATTTAAGTTTAAATATTATTTTAATCTCTATATTTCTAAAATTTTGTTTTTGATCCTTATATTTTTTTAAAAAATATTTTCATGCGTATCTCATTTTTTAATCATAATTTTAACATAATACTTTATTAATTAAATTTTTTAAAATATAGCTATAAATTTGTATTAAAAAGATTGAGTATCAAACTTGCGTTAAAATTTTGTAAATATAAATTGAATTGGTCGCTTTTAAAAAATATGATGACCAAAACAGACGTTCTTAAAAATTTAAAATTTAAAAGGATCAAAACCAAAATGACCGAACTTCAAGACTTGAGTTTAAATCATATTTTCCTCTAAGCATTCATGTTTTCAGGCCTAATTACAGTGGAGTTAAGTTCTTTAATCTTCCTCTAATCTTATGGTGAAACTTTTCTGTTGAGATATTTGTTCTCATGACTTATGTGTTTGTTCGTTAAGTTCATAATAATTATAGCAAAATTCTACATTTATAATAAATGCAGTATAACTCATAGGCTTATCAACTTCATTTTTCATAAGCTAAATTACAAAAAGATAATTTGATATTTGTTGAAAGGATATCACTATCTTATGGTAGAATTTAGAATGACATGATAACGTTCCAATTTTACCCTAAAATTTCTCTTAGTTTATCAAATTTTGTCTTAATTTCTACATCTCTTCCTCTTTATAATCTAATATAAGCACGCTTCCATATTAATTATCACATCATTCTCACATAAAGTTTTTACGCTAAAAACTTTTGAAAAGATATTGAATATTTTTTTAGAAATTGCAAACTTCAAATGTATTTTTGTAATTTAACTTTTATGACGTGGTTGAATACTCAACTTTCTTTTTTCCATTAAAATCATAAAATGAAAATTATAAAGAAATTTCACGAATCTAGAAAATTTATACTATAAGCTTCTTCTTTTTAAAATATAAAGTAAAATAAACCTTTTTGATATAGTTACATATTTATCTGTTGTACAGTACGTCAGTACCCGAAAAAAAAAAGATACAATTTATTAAAAACGGAATAGATATTTATTTTATATAATTTATATATTCATCTTGGGTTTTACCATTTCTATAATTGCATGTCAAAATCATACATTTTTCAGGACCATCAGAATCTTTGAGAAAACATGGCTTTTGTTCTTTACAGCTAGAAGTTTTTGGTCCAAAAGAAATTACAGCTATAAAATTTGGTCCTAAAAGAAAATACAGCTAGAAAATCTAAAAAGGGCAAAATATTATTATTAAAAAAGTTGATTAAAATATTATTTTGATCTTATATTTTCAAAGGTTGGTTTATTTTAGTCTCTATATTCTTAAAGTATTCATTTGGTCCTTTTACTTTTAGCTTTAATTTCTTTTAGTCCCTGTACTTTTAAACAATGTTTGTTTTGGTCTCTATAGTTTTAAAAAGTGTCCATTTTGATTTCTATTAAAAAATTTTAATACAAATTCTACACATAACGAAAATTATTTAATATAAAGTTGTCGTTACATTGTAAGAAATATATTGAGTTTAGTTTCATATTGAAATTGTAAGGTAAAAATGAGATTAAAAAAATTAAAGAACCAAAATAATCTTTTCTTTTTTTTTAAAGTATAAGAAGTACGATAAACATTTTAAAAATAGAGTACTAAAATGATCATAATTGAAAATAAAATAAAAATGAACATTGAGCAAAAAAAACAAAAATCAATAAAAGTTGCACTATTGGAGATATTTCGAAATGTCAGGGGTAGCAGGGTAATTTCATTCAGCGATAGCGACACTGGAAACTCCCCTCGTATCGCTTTCGTTCATTGAGAGACGCGAGTTGCGAAGCCTCTGGAAGCCGCGCTCTCCCCTTTGCTATAAATACCGATCCGATTCGAATTGTACCTCACACCTTCTGATTCTTGTTCTTCTCTCTCAATCTCAGCGAGTTTCACAGTTGATCGGAGCTCCGATTTCAGATTCCGGTTGGCCGCCGCGAGCTTGTGTATTCGCTGATTGAACGAAGTTCGTTTTTCTATTAAGACAGTTTTCTGTAGCTCGTAATTCTTGTCTGCTAATCATCTTCTTGTGGTGGTATGGTTTGGATCCTCGTTTGATTATGTTTTGTTTTCTTAGGCAATGTAATGAGCATTTGCCTTTGGCCTGAATTTTTTTAATTGGAAAAGAAAAGGGATTTGGGATCTTATACCTTCTGGTTTAGTTCAACTTTTTGTGAGTGGTTCGGTCCTGTTCTTGTTCCCTCTGCAACTACAATTGTGGAGGTATAAGGTCTCGAATTTTCTGTGTTCTGTTCCTTGCGATTATTGTCGTTGAAACTCTTGTTGTATGTTTCTTTTTGGTGCGAGCGAAATTAATTCAAATGATACTTCGGGATGGGTCTGGGCAATGTTGGTTCCTGATGCTTTTTTTTTTTCCTTGTCTGGTGTTATGTTTTGATGATGTATCTTGATTTATCTATCGATCATGGTTTTGATGTCTTGAAATGGAGTGTTATATGATTTTATGAGTGGGAATGTGAATGACTGAATACTAACCATCCCACCCCACACGATGCTAACACTCGTGAACCAGGGAAGTGAAATTAGATCAGAGTAGTTTTAATTGTGACTTCCAGACTTCACCCTGACCCCATTATTGGCTTATTCCGCGCTTTAAATTAAGCATTGAACATGAAAAATGGCGATTTTTGTTACAGAATCGTTTTAAATGCACGGGCTGATGGCCAAAACTAAGCAACAAGTTGTGGTATTTTTATTTGGATGTTCTTTACCAAATATTCGGGATTCTCTGGCTTTCTCTAACTAACTAGGTCGCTGGTGATACCTGCTAGAAACCTTTCCCACTTCCATAGTACTAGATACCTCTGCTCGGCGAGTGATTTTATTTTTTAAATTTAATTATGAGGAGTAGTGGGGAGCTGGGATGGTAGCCAGTGTCGTAGATGTTCTTCAGCTTTCTGCATTAGACTTGGAACAGTTTCAATTACCAATTACAAATAAATTTTAGATATCTGCTTCTGGGTGGTCTTGGATGTTGGATTTTTGCCTGCGATCTTCAACAAGCCTTGATGTTGGACTATGAGCAGTAGTTTGAAGTTCTGGACGTGTTTTTGCTTCTTCAACGTGTTCCAGATGGCCTTGACTATTTTGAGGCTCTCGGTGACCATAAGATTTCTACGTGGTTCCCTGATAGCGAGCATGTGAGACCTGTAGGTGCAGATACGTGGGCATTATATTTATTTAACTGGATGTCCTTGGTTACATCACCCATTCCTCTGATTGTAGGATCGGCTACACAGATTGAGACGTTCACCCTAAGATTTCATATCCTTACATCTAGTATATAATTATTGAAGTGAATCAAATTGCTGATGCACTCTCAACTATCTCTTTGATACACAATAGTTGTTTCTGCCCTCATTTTGTCGATCATCTTTCTAATGAACCTCTGGTTTCCCTCCTGCACCTTGCCCTCTGAAACAAGATTCAGTAAGTAAGAAGTTGTCGGCCACCTTCAAGAAGAGTTATAAATTCAATTTTGCCAATCTGGGAAAATGGTTATCTTCTTTTTGGTTGTTTGGCTCTCAGTATCTATTATGGTAATGAAGAAACCGGCTGAATGCAAAATAGCAGTGTATTTGATGAAGGAAAGCCTGTAGGCTATCAGACAGAAAATAATAGATGGGTAAGTTGGGTTCTTGAAGGAAACTGAATGCGGAGTTGCAATTTGAGGTAGGCTTGTCCTTTTGGACAATTAAACCAGTAGATGTATTTAATGTTTCACCTTTTTTTTTTTTTTGATATTCGTTGGAACACATTTGATTGGGTATGTGTTGCTCTTACAATAGGTTGATGCATCTACTGATTGACCCTGTTTAGTGGGATTTTCATCCGGAGTCTTCAACAAAGCAAGTGATCATGATGTGCAATTGGTCACTATTCAAAGCTGGAGGCTCTGGAGTTCCCCAGTGCTGCCTTGTAGTTATTATATGGGTCTGCTATAACTGTTCTTTTTTGGATGAACTCTCCTCTTGGAGTTATGATGATTGGAGCTGTACAACCTTTCTTGGATTATTTGTTGCTGATGTGATGTGGTCTGCAGCAGTATAGAAGAAAACCAACAGTGTCATGGCCTGTTTGACGGGTGATTAACATGCCTTTTGCTGGCTTTAGGATGTTTGCTAAAATCCTTCCTATATGCAGGTGCTTTAAGCTTGTTTCCAGATTCAACATTGTGTTGCATTGGAGGATACTATTTTTCCATGGCAGAGGTTGCAACTTATTCCAAGCCTCAACAAATTGGGACAGAAGAAAATCAACATATGACATGCAGGGGAAAGGAGATAAGAACCATGTACACGGAGCAGTTAGATTCTCAGTATTTGACTTTTGAGAAATCAAATGACCCCAAGGAATTGTTGGAGATGGGACATATGCAATATGGGTAAAGTCCATTAAAATTTGCCTTACAACTCTGTTTCAATTTCTGCTTATTTATATGCTAAACATAGAACATGTCATTTTGCAGATGTGCACATTATAGGCGAAGGTGCCGCATCAGAGCTCCTTGTTGTAATGAGATCTTTGATTGTCGTCATTGCCATAACGAAATAAAGGCAAGAAACTTCATTTTGAGCTGGATTATAGAATGTTTATGCTTCTGAGCATCATATACTGATTTTATAACCTTTTTTTCAATGCCCTCTTGCAGAATAGTATTTGTGTTGATCAGAAAGAAAGGCATGAGATCCCACGCCATGACGTCAATCAGGTAAATTTTTACCCCCTGGTTACTTATCCCACCTCGTTATACCTCTTCCATGCATATTTACCTATTCTTGTTTTTCTCAGGTTATATGCTCACTTTGTGGAACTGAACAGGAGGTGGGTGTTTACTGTTTGATCTTATACTACAATTTCGTAAAGATGATTAGTAATTCTCATACTCATGAGCTTCTAGGTTCTCATTTTTCTTGGTTGCTGATCTGACAGGTTCGACAAGAATGTATAAACTGTGGTGTGTGTTTCGGGAAATATTTCTGTGAGACATGCAAGCTGTTTGATGACGATGTGAGTGCATTATACGAATGAATTCTCGTCTCATTTTTTATGCACTATCAATATAGCCAACTTTCTTCAGCAGCAACTTGGCTTTATTTGATTCCATCTTATACTTATTTTGGTTTTATGAATCTTTGATTACTAGCTAGTGTTTTAATTACTCCTCGTTTTGTTTATTGCAGACATCTAAGAAGCAGTATCATTGTAATGGCTGTGGAATTTGTAGGTATGATCCTAATCCAGTTACCTATCTCGAAGATTATTGCTCTGTTTCAGATTTTTACAAGAGAACTAAAAACTCTATTCCTTTGCTTACTTGATGGTATTTTGAATGTTTTGACAGGATTGGGGGGCGTGAGAACTTCTTCCACTGCCATAAGTGTGGTAAGTCATCACCGCTGAACCTAAAAGCTTAARCTGATTGGTTATAACGAATTTAACCATTTATCAACGCTTTAATTGTCTTACATGATTATCTGAATTCTTCCTGCTAATAGTTTAGTCACAGTTGTCATAATGGCTGATTTTTGTATTTGTTGTAATGAAGGTTGCTGCTATTCAAATGTTATAAAAAATAGTCACCCCTGCATTGAAGGAGCAATGCACCATGACTGTCCTGTTTGCTTTGAGGTATGCCACCCAAGCTTTTCCCCTTATATCCCTTGGATTATTTTCTATCTTGATACATCTTAACAAAATGGCTTGGCTTGCAGTATCTATTCGATTCTACAAACGATGTTACCGTCATGCCATGTGGACACACTATCCATCAAAATTGCTTGAAGGAGATGAGAGATCACTTTCAGTAAGTGTTCAGCAAACTTTCTTTGCCCCTATATAAAAGAGAGTAAATATATCATAACTTATCAGTTTAAGCTTTAAATTTCGTTCTCAGATATGCTTGCCCCCTCTGCTCCAAGTCTGTTTGTGATATGTCTAAGGTGTGGGAAAAATATGACATGGAAATTGCAGCTACTCCAATTCCAGAACCATACCAAAATAAAATGGTATAGCTCCCTACTTTCACTTTCTTTTACTCGTTAGTGTTTTTCTAATGAGCTAACGAGGCTAAAGGAGACAAATATATCATAACCTATCAGTTTAAGCTTTTAGTTTTAGCTACTGTTGTTATAACCTAACTTAAAAACTTTTACATCCAACCCAGGTTTGGATTCTCTGCAACGACTGCGGTAAGACGTCGAAGGTGCAGTATCATATTGTGGCTCAGAAGTGCTTAAACTGCAAATCCTACAACACCAGACAGACCAGAGGCTAAGTATGTGGATATGGAGGCCACATCCCAACATCCTGCAGCTCTGAAATGCTTCCATCTGGCTATTCAAGCTCCATTTCCAGCTGTGACTTTTTCAGAAGAGCCACACTCGTCATTGTCGAGCGATGGGAACAACATGGTTCTGCAGCGTCCTTCACTCGGGGAAAGACGATATCATGTCACTTTCACTTGATCGCGCATTTTTTCTGTTCTTTGTTTGGTTGATATTTTGTATTCTATTTCTACCTCTATCATTATATTTGTTGGTGCCTGTATTTGTTGTATTTGTCCCCTCGCTTAGAAGACAACTTTGTATTGTAAACAAGGGCAGTAAATTGCATTGCATTGCATTTGATTTGGTCTTCAGGTTGCCTTCCCATAATGTCTCTCAACAAACTTCTTAAAACGACCAATTCAATTCAGCTCAAAAAAAGTATATACATATACACAAGTGATTCATAAGTTTAAACAAAAACATCAACTTAAACCATTTTTAGGTTAAATTTATATTAGGTTTGTGCTTAGTTTCCATGTTTTATATGCTTTTTCTTATTTTTAACTCAAAATTAGCAAACTAACCAATAAGATAAATAAACAATTTATTAGGGCAATTCATGAGATTTAGACTAAATTGAAAATTTTTAAATTGGATCAAATTCACCCAAACAAGTTTGTAACTTGAGTTAATTTTTAATAAAAGTTTATTAGAAACAAAAGATTCAAATAAAAATATATACTCAAAAGATCTAGTTGAAGAAATTCATCCAAGTTCAATACTCAAGATTCAATTTGGGCCATGAGTTTACCTTTTTAAGGTTGAACCACTATTAATCTTTGGGCTTGTGTTTTGATGCTAATAGACTCGAGGATAATCTAGATGCAATTGCCCATTTTTTGTCGGTTGACGAACCAATGAGAAATTTTTTGCAAAATTATAAACCTCCTAATTTTGATGGGAGTAATATTTAAGTACTTGAAATATACAAAAATTATTAAATTTTTGACACAGAGAAATATAGAAAAAATATTTTTTCTAACTGTCAAATTTTTATTCATCGTCAATAAAAAGATGGGTACTGACCCACTAGTACTTTGGGTAAWTTTTTTTTCTTTTAATTGATGACATTGTATAAAAATAAATAAATAGGAAAAAGGGGGGAGTGTTGTTTATGTGAAGAAAGTTGGAATTGTTTGGAGGCAATGATGGAATCACATGGAAAATGGAAGGGGCAGCAGCTGTGAAAGCCATCAATCTTTATTTGGAAAAAAGGGGACCAAATAAACAAAGCCTGACCATGTCACTTTCTTCACTTTTTTTGTTTTTTTTTCTTTTTAAGTTTAAAATTTTGATGTTGCCACTCCACAAACCAACTTATTCTCCTTATTTTCTTCACACATTTAAAAGTTTTCGCTTCATCCACTTTTGCTTTTGAACCTTCAAGTAAGGATCGGAAGTTCTAACATTTGGTTTGTGATTCGAAAACAAAACGAAGCATACGAAATTGTCACTTTTTTGGTGCGGAATATTTTCAGTTAAGATTCATGTAAGAAACTTGTAAGATTATAATATGATAGGTAGGTAGTCATTGGTAAAATTTAAATTTATATCCCTTATATATATACTTTACTTTTTTGTTTGCCTCGATGACCGTTAGACCAGTTATAATGATCATGTTAGGAATATATCAAAAAATCCAATTTAACCTGATGTATTTATTCAAACATTTTTACAAGTTTCGAGGTGGAGTGGTAACATAACATATCAAAAGGCATCAAACAATTTTTTTAGTTCATGAGTTGTAGGGTGAATGATCAATTTATCAATCCATGATACGTTTATATACGTCTTATTTACGAAATTATACATGCGATTCTTCTCTTAATTAATATTATGCAAGCCTACAAAGCAAGAAAAGTGAGATAGTTTTTGGATTTATTGACTATTTGATATTTTAAAAAAGTGAATAAAACAATCATGAAAAGCCTATAATATATGCTTGAGAGTTTTATATTGAAGGAATAATTTTAGAAGTCATCGAGAGATTATTTGCAGTAATTAAAAAAAGGACCTCATAAATAAAATATTGAGAGGGAGAAAGAGAATAAAAAATAAATTAAAAAAAAAAAACCCATATGCCAAGAAGAAGAAAAATCCAAAATATGCAGCATGGAGAGGGGAAAAAAGTGGTTTCGTTTCATTTTCATCATCTTTCTCACCTTACAAAAGGGAATGGCAAAAATCAAACAACAAAAAGAAAAAGCATAGAGAAAACAAATTGTAACATAGAAAGCATCACAGAAAGAGACAATACTACCAAAAAGAAAATATGAAAAAGAAACATAACCGAAATCTATATACAACTCCAYGGTATAATCGAGTGCTAATTTGAGTGAGTTTGAAATGACTTTTGAAACGAGTGTTTTTAGACGAAATACTTCTTTTATATTTATACTTAAGGAGGCTGGTGCCCGTTGTTGGGAATATGATCAAAGTCCAATATTGATTAGATAAGGAAAAGATCACGAGTATTAAAGTGAGAGACGAGACMTTCTTAGTGAAACCAAAAGTAAAGTCAAAACTTATATGTGGACAATATATTTTGCCTTTTCAATTATCTAACTTCTTATCTGGAGTTATCTGATTCGTTTTTTACTGCAACTAAAACATCACCTTGAAGTACGGTAAGTTTAAGATTTCTAAAGATTCATTTAAATTCTAGGCTAAAATAATTTTTTAAAAAAAGAAAGACTGCTGTAGCAAAAATAATATTTATAAGGTTAACTTTTAAAAAAAATAGTTAAAAATAAGGTAAAATAGTTATCAAAACAATATAAAACCTAACATTTTAAAATTTTAGCTTTACTAATATATAATGGAAAAAAAAAGCAAGTTTGGAAATATGAATTTCTTTTATATAGTTTAAAAGTGGTTTTTTTTTTGGGGGGGTTAACATTATATTTTATCACTTTTATAATATTTGGTTTTCAATAAAATTTTAAGGGGAAAAAATACTATTTTGGTCGGTCACCTTGGTCCTATATTTCAAAATCGTGCACTTTTGATTCCTCAATTTTCAAAACAGGCTTAAATAGTCTCGTCCCTCAACTAACGCTTCTTTAGGTATCTCAATGATATTTTTCTATTCGAATATGCACATTAGCCTCAGCCATCTTGACATGATATAACAAATGATATTTTCCATTCGAATATGCCACATTAGYCTCAATCAATCATATTTTTCGTGAGATACCTAACCGAAGCGTTAGTTGAGGAACCACTTAAACATATTCCGAAAATTAAGAGACAACAAAATGAACCATTTTGAAACATAAGAATCAAAGTGAACTCRGGGATAAAAAGGTACTTTTCATCCTCCAAAATGAATCATATTCCAATTTGCCCCTCAAAGATTGTTAAATCATCTTGGTTCAGTCTTTCCAGTATATAATATCTGGCCATTAAAAAGATACAAGCCAGCAAAATTAGAAGATGGGGAGCCATAGAAGCAGGCTTCTACCCTTTTCCACATGATCATCTCTTCTACAATGCATATTATCTAAACTTTGACATTAAAAACTGCCAAATTTTATGGGAACTTCAAAAGGAAAAAGAAAAAAAAAACAGACAAGTCTGGTAAGTTCATCTCCACTCAGACCCTGATAGTGAAATGCAAATCAAACAAATGCATCATCAATGTACAGAGGATCATCCATGGCTGCCCAAAGAACAGCTCTTCTGTTAACAGACGACCGCGCAGCATTTGCTTCYGCAATTTCGCCCATGGCTGTGGAGGAGTCCAACCTCTTTATTCAGCGGCAATGGCGCCAAGTTTCGAACTCTACTTTGCCATCTCGGGGTGTTGAAGAATGTGTAAGATTTTCACAGACAGATTTCTCTAGTTCTTCTTCGATCATGATCTCCCGATAGCGGCAATCAGAGCTGCAAAACGCCTTCTCCCCCCTGCAAAATTTTATTAGTGTGTTCAGTTTGAAACACTCAACAATATCTCAAGCAACTGCAAAACGTGTTTGTGGCAAACCTGTAGATGTAAATGTCTTTCCCATTTTCAAGTTTCTTGTTACAAAAGTAACAAAAACTCAGAAAATCACTTGGTTGATGTGAGAAAGGGATGTCCAAGCTGCTTCTAACTGACAGAGGAGATCCTATTTCTATTTCATTCACCTCATTCTTGTTCAAGTTGCTCATTAAATCACTAGAGTGACATTCTAAAATACAGTCACCAAAAATGTGGGTGGTTTTTGGATTGGCACCATGGGATATTACACAAGTATAATCCTCGGAGAGTTCGATTTCGCTTGCAGAAAGAGACCCCACGATCTCAGGAACAGGCGGTGCTACAGATGCTGGGATTGAACTATCTGCAGGCAAAATTTTGTCCCGAGGCTCCAAATCACCATTGGTTGTCACTTTCTTCACAAATGGATTTGTAGAATGGAGTAAACTACACCCTTTTACACCATATGATGCTGAAATAAACCGGGGCGAGTCCAGTGAACATGCCCCGATTTTCTTTAAAGGCTTGGATTCCAATGGTTCTCCAATCTCAAAGAAAACCTCCGAGCTCCCACTGCATGGTGATTTGAACTGCACTTGGGGGAAGATCGGACAAGTTTTAGGTAAAGATCTAGGACCTGCCTGAGGAAAAACTGTGTCAATTTGAAGATTCGGGGTCGGACTCTTTGTTCTAACTTGAGGTCCAAAAATGATGTTCTTACTCTCTGATGATCCAATATCTTTACCAGATAACTTATTATCATCATCAAGAGAATCAACAATCCCTAATCCTACTTTACTACAATCCCAACTCCTTCTATGCCCATCATGGGATGATTTAGGGGATCCCACAGAGTTGCTTAGATTTGAAAACACCCTAAGCTCTAGAGGAGAGGTGGGACTCTTGACTGAATCAGAATCTGAAGGAACTTTGAAATTTAAGCCAACAAACAGACCAGGGGCACTGAAAAAGGAGCTGCTTTTGGATTTGTGCCCCAACACAGCATACTGAACTGGACACAACTCAGAACCAGAGTCAGCCATTGTTATAGCTGATCTAAAGTGGAAACTGTTCTCTCTGTGAAGCAATCTGCTCCTCTTCCTCAGCCTTTTATCTTTAAACACTGCAAATTTTTGTCTCTGGCAATGGTCAAGCTTGTTTCCTGTAAACACAGCTGAGATGCTTCAATGGAGAAGAATACGAAGGACTGATTTCTTTCATGAAAGTTAACTAAACTCCAACGAGGAACAGACAGTATGATGATGAAAGAAATTAATCACCAACAAGAAATAAAACACGAACGGTTTGGTTTGAAAATAGGTTGAAAGTATCAGCAATTGATTAGAAACAGGCTCTAAATCATTGCGAGGGAAAATGCACAATCTGATAACGAGCAGGCATGAAAAATGAAAATAGAAAGAAATCTGAGAATCAATAGGGAGAGAAGTTTCTAGAAAGTCCATTAGTCTCTTCACTCAGATGAAAAATCCGATGTCTGTTTAAAAAATGGTCAAAGTTCGGTACCAAATTAAACATGCAAACACTGAAAATCATCCAAATGAGAGCGATCTAACAGTCCTAAATCGATCAGAAAGTCCAAAAATGGAGGCAAAAACAATAAATGAACCCTCAGACTCAAACTCACACAAACGAATTGAACAATGAACATGCAGAGATAGAGAGAGAGAGAGAGAGAGAGTCGATCACTCGATCACTCGATCCCTCGATCCCTCAATCCCTCGATCCCCTCCACTACAACTCAAATGATCGCTGAAAAATCATTACAAAATAGAGCAAGAACAACAAAA